AAATCAATCGAAATTTTGACTTTTCTTTCCATCATATCAGTGGCACAATATTCCCACACAAGCGCATACACAAAGCTACATGGGTCTCACTGGATTACATCACAGAGAACCAGTTCATATTTGCATCATTAGAAAATTTAGAGTGGAAGACGTGAGAACCACCACCTAGTTGTGGCCAAGATGAGACTGGAGCTAAAGAAAAGCTGAACAGCTGAGATACTAACAAACTCAATCAATTCAAGATAACTCTTAACAACAGGTTCCAAGATTTACGGGATCTACTGAAAGGAGAAACTACAACTAGAAAGGGTTCGAAGAAAAACTAACTTCAACGTGTCAGGAGATGCTAGGCCGTAACAAGCATCATCATAAGGAATTGATTTCTATCAAAACCCTGGGCATGATTCAAGAGAGGAAGAACAAGGAGACAACAATCAACAACAGCTAGATAAAGCGAACGCATAGCCCTGAAGTTAGACATAGAAGTAACTGCAAACATGCCGCACGTTCTATTCAGGAAGATTTAGGAGGAATAACAAGTGCTGACAAACTGGAAAGAATGACACCTCATCATGATACAAAAGAAAAGAGACCTAAGTAAATGTGAGAACTAGAGGCATCACATTACTGTCAGTACCAGGAAAGGTATTCAACTGTGTTACTGAACCGGATGAAAGACTCAGCAGACGCCCGACTTCGAAATCAATAGACTGAATTCCTTAGGGATCGGTCGTGCACAAACCAAATCACGACGCTGCGGATCAGCGTTGAACAATCAGTTGAGTGCAACTCACCACTATACATCAACTTCTTTGACAATGAGAAGGCATTTGACAGTGTGGACAGGAGAACCTTATGGAACCTTCTTCGACACTATGTTGTACTTGAGAAGATCCCCAACATCATTCGAAATTCTTATGACAGACTACAGTACAAAGTCGTGCATGGAAGACAGTTCACAGACCCTTTGCAAGTAAGAACCAGAGTCAGACAAGACTACTGACTCTCTTCCTTTCTTTTGGTGGTTGACTGGATTATGAAGACCTTCATATGTGAGGGGAAGCACGGAATACAATGGACAGCTCGGGATCAATTAGATGATTTGGATTTCTCAGATGACCTAGCCCTCCTATCCCATACACACGAACAAATGCAGATGAAGGCAACTAGTGTAGCAGCAGTCCCTGCATCAGTAGGCCTCAATATACACAAAGGAAAAGACAACATCCTCAAATGCAACACGGAGGACACCAACTTAATCACACTGTATGGAGACTCTGGAACACGTGAAAAATTCACATATCTGGGCAGCGTAATCGACGAACATGGAGGATTTGATGCATATGTGAATGCAAGGATTGGCAAAACAAGGGTAGCATGTCTACAATTGAAGAATATATAGAACTCAAAACAACTATCGGCCAACATCAAAGTTACAATCTTCAATACGAACGTCAAGACCGTTCTACTGTACAGAGCTGAAACTTGGAGAATCACTACAAGCATCATCAAAAAGATAAAGGTATTCATTAACAGTTGTCTACACGAGATACTCAATATCCGTTGGCCGGATACTATCAGCAACAGCCTATTGTGAGATAGGACAAACCAGCTAATGAGGAAATCAGGAAAAGACGTTGGAAGTGGACAGGACAAACATTGAGGAAATCACCAAACTGCATCATAAGGCAAGCCCTCACTTGGAATCCTGAAATGAACGTAAAAGAAGAAGGCCGAAGAACACACTACGTCGGGAATTGGAAGCAGACATTGTGGTGATGGTTACTTATATTCACATAAGTAGTATATAACGGTGGTCAGGCATAGAATATGTTTCAGTAGAAGATCGATAGGGAAAGAACGGAAACGGAACGCAATTGGTATGAAAATGCATGGAACAATGAAATCTGAGTTAACGGACTGATATTTGCACGAAGAACAGTCAAGTTTGAGACGATGGATTGATATTTTGCAACTTAACTATTTGCTATATGGTTCTCAGATTTTAGTGAGATGCTTTGTGATTTCATGTCAAACACATCCGATTATCCCCGCTCATATTCTTGTTCACTACAACATGAAAAGGATGAATAGCAACTGGAAAGAACTGGAAAGGAATTCCCACGACAGGGTTGGATGAAGTGTGCTGGTGGACGCCTATACTACTCCACGAGGGGTGACAAGCTTAAGTAACTACTTCTATGAATTTGGTGTTCACCTTGTTGTACTAACGAGGTGTGGCAACTTGGATCGATGCATATATGTGACTGGTCCTACATTGTAGCTGACTGTTTATAATGATATGATACAGGGAGAAAGAATTAGTTCGTAAAAATAAAGGTAAAAATTAATTCAAATCTAACGTGTTAAGCGAAGAAAAGGAGTCTATACACTCACGCTAATGTGAATGATTATGAGCCATATAACCCAGAGTCTCCAACCACTGGTCATAATAGTCACATGAACCCCAAACAAGTAGTCTGCATCTACCAACACGGCTCAGATCAGAAGAGTTAGTGACTTTATGGACTGATGCCACGTTTTGGTTCATCTGCCCCTAACTTTCTTCCGACCATCTTCAACACTAGTCAGCACTGAGCGCCGTGGCGATGCTGCAGTCTTTTGTTGAAAACTTTTATCAATAAGATCAGTCATTGGATGACAAACAACAGGGAATTTTGACTATGATTAGCAATTTCTAAAGTAAAATATCAACACATACCCGCTAACTACTGTCATACCCCAACAAAAGTAAATAAAACGTAATATATAACAAAAATCATTAGTCCCATCCTACGTATAAAAAAGTCAATATTATGAAAATGCATTGATAAGACATTATTTTTAGAGTAAAAACGTTAGTATGAGAAAGTTGAAATATATAACATCCCTATCTGAAGCCTTTCTGATATGGATTAAATGATTTAGTTTTATCCTAATAAATCATGTCAGTTATTTCACATGATAGGGACATAATAATGGTTTGCTCACATAATAAAGCACTCTTGCGCTAGCTGTTACCAGTTATTTAACTGAATAATAATTTGATAGTTCTTGAAGTTTACCAATATCATGTGTAATATAAACATTCTCAGAATGATTCACTTGATATTGTTTTACTTGAATCTTCCCATTGATGTTTTTGGACTGAAATTGATCAGTCTCTTATTGGCATATGTGCATACTGTGCGTATGCCTCGATATTGCCTTAATTTACAAGCATTATAAGCAAAGATGGATAGTGGCTAGCAGTGGAATCAAGGACGCGCGTTTCGTCCTGTTTGGGACTCGTCAGCTGGATGTACCTGCATCTCAGAGTTGATGTTCACTCTGGGACTCGAACTCAATACCGTTCGCTTCAAACGCCATCGCGTTATCCACTTAGCTACTGAGTCCTGATAGCCACTTGCTTGTGCAATTTCAGTCCAAAAACATCAATGGGAAGATTCAAGTAAAACAATATCAAGTGAATTAAACTTCAACCCATTGCACAAGCAAGTGGCTATCAGGACTCAGTAGCTAAGTGGATAACGCGATGGCGTTTGAAGCGAACGGTATTGAGTTCGAGTCCCAGAGTGAACATCAACTCTGAGATGCAGGTACATCCAGCTGACGAGTCCCAAACAGGACGAAACGCGCGTCCTGGATTCCACTGCTAGCCACTATCCATCTTTGCTTATAATTTTCAGAATGAGTTAAATAAGAGATGCAAAAGGCCTTAGTCATTCAACTTCACTTTGGAAATAAGACTTAGATCGTGACCTAATTTAGTTATAATCATTTTGTTCTATGTTACTTATAACCGACCACATACGATTTAGTCTTTGGTGTTTTTATTAACCCTTAGCATTTCGAGTGTGTACTTTTTTGGGGACTATATCGACTAAAACGTTTCTACCTACATTGTCTAAAAATGTATAGCTAATGGTAAAATCTAGTATTGTATGCACAGTAATAACAAAATAACACCATACAAAATTTGTGAGTTAATCAAAGATTATGTATCACAAAACTATTCACTGTGATCACAAATGTTTACCTCTGCTTGAATCATTTTTTGCTCAGCCAGTTCAGCCATTAAAGAACGATGTGGTTGAGAGTCTACTGTTTTCACGCGATCATCCTCATTACTACTAGATTTCTGTTCACCTGTTTGGATCGACAATTTATGGAGCCGGTTGTGAAGTATACTAGCTGTCTCTTGAAGTCTTGTAATCTCTGCGTCTTGAATATTTATCTAAAAACTATACTAACAAAATTGAAAACATACGGTAGCGATGTGTTCGTTATTCACATGTCTCATCATTCTTATTTCTTGATAAGAATCATTGAGTGACTGTAGAAGGCTATTTCTTTCCTCCACAACGGTGTTTAACTGGTTTTCTAAGTGATGTTTCTCCTCACGTAATTTAGTGATCTGAAATTATTATAACAGTATTACGGAACTAACTTCTTGTCTCAAAGACTCGATTGACTGAACATGTTCTTGCATAGACGACTTGTGCTTTAAAAATTCCAACCTCAAGGTAGACATTTCCTCTCTTAAAAGAGCTTCATTCTCACTGGAAGTATTAAGCCGACAAGTTAAAGATTGATTCTGTTGCATTAGCTCCGATATAGTAGTATTTTTCTCACGTTCCATCTGTCTACACATTTTCTTTTCCTTTTTTAGGTCTATACGCATGGCAATTATATCCGTCTGTAGTTCTTTTACTTGAGCATCATAATCACTCTCAACAGCCTCCAGACGAAGCTTGAGAATCCGACGTTCTTTTTCCAGGCTCTAACAATGTTTTGTTATATTGCAAATCACTTACATGGATTTTCTGCAGCAGGGATTCCAGTACTTCACCATCACTATTGTGACAGTCATTACTATGTAGCAGATATGAAGACACCCCCTCGTTCCCGGTGCACAGGAGATCAACATTTGAAGAATTCATTGGATTACAGACGCTAAATGACACAATTACTTCTCATATGTACTCACTTAAGTATAACTATGGCAGCTGAATTAAAACATATATCGTAAAATTATCTGGACAAATGTAATGTCTTTCCTTTGATCGGTTTTCGTATAGATTAGAGATAATTCGTATGCGGAGGAAGTGTTCAAAGTAGTACCAATCTAAAAGAGTAAAGAACAAAACAGAAATTGACCGCGAAGTTCAACAACCACATAAGACGAGCTTGTGTCTAATAGTGAATGAAGTCAATCGAAATTAGCAATGACGAAAGCTGAAAAATAAACGAAATAATAATCAGAACAAGAATCTTAGAGAGCTATAATTGCCGCAAAATTAAAATGCGCAGATCGATCAGATAGCTGGAATCAATATTAGAAAAATGTCAGTTGACGTGCCGACGATCTTTCAGCTTTTTAAACAATCAAGCAACAGTAACCACCCAACCATACGTAATGACCTGACCAATCAACAACTTCCAAATCGATAGTGGTGTTTATCGTACCGTTACCAAGACAAAATTCTCTCGCCTCCACAAACGTTTTTATCAAATACGACCAATAACCATAAAACCAAGGAGTGAAGAAAAGTTCTCTTTCTACTGTCGATAAACCTATCTAACACAGACTTTTAAAGTTTCGCTTTACAATAACCAGGGAAGTTAACCTCTAACAATTCTTGATAGCCCAAGACAAATGCAGCAAACATTTCTTTGACAGTTTTTTTAACATAGAGATGTCCTCTTTTTGGCATAACTATGTATTCTAATGATCTAAATATTATTATTTCAGTGGAATGCTTATTTACATATTTAACTGGCAAAATCTTGGGTCTTGATTGTACAATTGATGGTGTTCAGAAAAACAGTAATAATTCTTCTGGATTGATAAATTTTACAGTTTTAATTGTGATCTAACGCGCAAAGGCTTCCCTTTAATGACCAATTGAATTAATTTTCAAATAAAGTATAATAAAATTATGAGTCTAAAGACAGTGTCACATTTATATCAGTGTTTTGGTTTATACTCAGATTGAGAGTGATGAAAAATTACCGAGTGTCTTGTACTGAGTGGATAAAATACTTCACTTATGAAATAGCTTTGTCGTACTCTTTTTACTAATATGGTACAAATCTTTTGATGTTGTAGTGTTCATGGTGGTCGTCAAAAAATTAAGGAAAGTAATGAGACCTACATGTGTTTTGCAAAATCGGACTGTGGAGATGAGAGTTTAAGGAACAAAACATCACAGCTTGTCAAAATAAATTTCACAGAGGGTAGTAATTTTTCACAACAGAATCTTCTGTAAAAGAACCAGTCCCTGGGTTTGAAAGCACAATAAGTCATAATAAGTAACTAATAAGCAAGCTACTCTCGGAAATAACAGAATAGGACAGGTGGATTCTGAAAGTACGCAAGCAAGCCGCCTTCTCTATTGTTATATTGCTGCCGCTGATAAAAGCTCTAAACTTGAATTTATAGGTTTTAAAAACTCAAAACCAAACGACCTTCAACCACTCTGGATGATATTAGAAATACGAGATGATTAAAAAAACATATTGCAAGATATTCCTCGAATTATATCTAACAAGTTGCAAGTACATTTCCCAGCAGTTGAACATAGAAACCAGTTAATTATGTTACGCCTTATGTGATAAAACTGTTAAATTTTGTTTTTATAATAGGTATTCTCAACTTTGCCTGGCATTACTATTTTGCCGTAAATGTATTTCTCACGTTTGTGGACGTTTTAAGGAATTTTGGAGGAATCCTCAAAATCAAATGAACTTCACCAAGGTTTGAGGGAAATTTTGAAATTCTGGCGCCATTTCCCCAAAACTGGGAGATTGTGTTTTTAATTTGTTCTGAGATTTAAAATATTACCAGAGTTTAACAGCACGATTGAATGGCTGGATTAACTGCTATTGTAAAAGCCTTCAGCTTCAAAAACACGTTAAGAGCTTATTGAATATGTGACTAGCAGTATCTTTCCAACCAAACCTACAGGGCGTATAAAACGTAATACATAAAACGTCTAATTTCGAACCGTCGTCCTTTGTAAGTTCAATATAACAATGATTACTGAAGCAGTATAACAAAACTAATAAAGCCATTGCCAATAAACGAGACAGTTCAAATATATGTGTCATGCGTAAACATTTTGATCTTCCCATTTCCTTTGCTTTGAAATCATCATTTACATTGTTTCTCCATTTTCCCAAAGAATATTTTTCTGTGTGATATACGATGATTTAGCTTAATGCTCTTAATTGTAAAATTGCGGTTCATCACCCATCTATCATTGTTTGAAATACTCTGTTTCATTATTTTTTTCTTCGGAACTCTAAAAAACGTTTATACTGGTGGCAGCATTCAATAAACTGGAAATTTGTTATCATGTAGTAAACTACTTTTATCAAAAGGACGCGATTGGTGTTATGGAAACAATTATTACTTATAACCAAATGTACCAGGAGTTGCTTCACCGCACTTGCTTGTTTAATCGTACCAGAATTCATACATTCTTCCATTGATTGTGTCCTGGATTCCACTGCTAGTCACCACCTATCTTTGCTTATAAAGCTTGTGACTTCAGGTATTGTCGGGGCAGTCCGCACGGGAAGCATATATGCCAACAAGAGGCTGATCAATTGCGGTCCTAAATGACAATGTAGAGATACAATTAAACAACACCAAGTGAATATAACTTTACCTTATCTCACAAGCATGTGGCTATCGGGACTGAATGGCTAAGTGAATAACGCGATGGCGTTTGAAGCGAATGGTACTGGGCTAGAGTCCTAAACTGAACATCAACTCTGGGATGTAGGTACGTGCGGCTGACTAGTCCCAAATAGGACGATATGCACGTGCTGGATTCCCCTGCTAGCCACTATCCATCCAGATGTGTTTTGCACTTCTTTTGATTTATTTCCATATAACAATATGTTACATGTAGCATGCCGGTTTACAGGATAGATCAGAATATTACAAAAGTTACGATGTTTACCGTAGTAAGTTACGCAATTAGTTTGATGTGTAATATTACATATAAACAGGGGGTAAAGTTGAGTACATATAAATATGATTAATGTTATAATTAATCATAATACAAAGCAGATGCGGCCCATTCGTGCAGGCATGAAAAATAGTGTTCAACATGTATTTAAAGATAAGGTAATATCTAAGTAAGGTTATTAAATAAATGAGAACACTATATCTCTACTGTCATACTCCTGCAGTTTACTTTCTTGCATTGTTCATCTTTACAAACACTCAAGATAACCCCACACCTATTTCAAACACAGGTCTTGATTCCCGAACTACCTTGAGCCTTCTGTCTAATTTTACCGCTCCGCCTTCTATTTAGACACTTTTTCCTTCATCTACCTGTCTCAAATATCTTTCACATCAAACCTCGGAAAGACGTGAAAGCCCTTGCTTCCAGACTTCCAGTCGAATTCAGGAAAGACACTGTCTAACACTACTAAGGACACTATATCCAGCAGCTATCTGATTCTACTAGAAACAGAAAAGCTTGGGGAAACCCTTGACACTCCAGAAATGTTGAATAATCTCTTGGTGAACAATAATGAAAATAGCCACAACAACCATACGATTGACGTAAGAAAGCTGCAAATTCGCATTAACATTCTTAATTTACTTGAGTATCTCATCAACCCTTCTCAGAGATTCTCGATAATAGGAATAATAAAAATTATTTCCTGAATCGTATTGCTTCAAAAAAATTTGAAGGGATAACACGAACCAGTAATGAAAACGTACTTAATATACTGGAAACATATGCTCCTAAAAATATCACGTCTAATCTGCCTAAAGCCAACAATATGACAAACGTACAATGCGTGAGCACAAAAATAAAAAATGAAGTCATCGATATTGTCAAAACTCAACACATCTGCAAACAGATATGAGTTCCCGACTTTCTCGAAGACGGTCAGATAAAAACAGAGCTTCCGGGACATTACAATAATCCAGATATAGAACCGTGTCAGCGAAATGGAGGTAAAGCTAGTTAAAGATCACTAACATCAAGATCACTAAAGCGTTCTAATCCTAAAGATCATAAAATTGCGTCTGATTCCGAGATATTCTGTAGAATTTATAGTTTACATCATTATTAGTACTGCTCTCGTGATAGGCCTTATCCTAAGATCAGTCGTGATGTAACTGCTTAGTCTATAAGATCTTACGTGAAAGCCAAACCATTTTCAACACTGACTAATCGTTTCGTGACAATCAAAAACTTAGGAAACTCCTCTCTACAGGTATCTTAAGTTGAGAAAGGTCTTGGGGCGTTTTTAATTTAATATTTGAGGTCTTACGCTAACTGTATCAAAAATGCCTTACAAGCTAACGTTGCACTGGTAAGGTCGAAGCACATTTCGGCCAGTTCAACGGAAGATCTCTCCACATAATCTTCCGCGGTTTTATTCGTCCTCATTTAGAGTACTGAAGCATAGTATTTCCTCCCTCACTCCAAAAGGATAAGAACACTCGGGAAAGTATCCAACGGCGAGACATGAAATCAGTTCAGGGACTCAAATTCAAGCCTTACGAAGAGCACCTCTAATCACTGAAACTTTATGCATTGGAGAACAGCGTCTTAAAGGTAACCTAATGGCTTACAGTACCCAAAATACTTCTAGACGCCCCGTTAAACAGTCAATTAATCTTATTCCCAACACAACATCTTGAGGCTAACACCCAGGAACTGGAGACACAACATACCAGAACGGACTGTAGACACACCTTACACTTCTCAAGAGTAGTCAAACTCTGGAAATTGCTACCAACTGAGCTAGTTCAATCGAGTTCTTAGGAGCACTTTGTGAGAACACTTGACATATTCTTAAGGACTAAGGATAGCATGTTACTATAATTTCCCATTCTTTTCAATTTTCACTTTGTATCGATGGTATGTCTAGGCTTATGCATGGAGGTATTGGTGATCCACTGATACCAGACAGTGATGCACGTTAGGCAAATCTTTTACTATTTCGTCCATAACCATTTGAACCATTAGTGATAGTCGTCTTTCCTTAGCACTCAAGTTGTCACTTTAAAAATCTTTACATTTCAGCTGACCGGCTTCCTGCTTGCTTACGTGTCAGCTACTGGTATCCAGAGAGCTCACTGCTCTGAAATGAGCACACTCGGATTACATGATATACAGATCCACAAATGAGTATCCCAATGAACAGTTTCAGTTTCAGTCTGGGAAGGACAGGAGGCCCGACGGCCTGTGTTAGTCCTGGCAATGGTGGTCCCTCAGTTGATCTAACTTTCGTTTGAAAGAATCGACGGATGGAGCCTCAACCACGTGCTGAGGTAATGAGTTCCACTCGTTGATGATTCAATGGGAAAGTCGATAGTCAGCTGACAAGTAATTTGTCCTTGACTTGTGAACTTTTTTGGAATCTCCTCGTAAATTCTCTGTTTTCGAAAACAAGAAAAATGAGAGCATATCAGGCGCAAATTCGGCAGTAAGCAATTTGAAAACTGTAATCAAGTCGCCTCTAGTTCTGCGATATGACAACGGGAAAAGGTTCAGCTTGGCCAGTCGAGCTTCATACGGAAGCTTCGCTATTCCGGGAATCAGCTTAGTTGCCGTTCTCTGAACCCTTTCCAGAAGCTCACTGTCTTTTTTTAAACAGGGGATGGCCGCTTGTATGCACTACTCAAATTTAGGACGTACGAACACTGTATACAAAGTCAAAAACGTTTTAGCGTCGACATGACTAAAAGCCCTATGTATTGACCATAACGTTCTAAAACCCTTTGCGGCTATTGCACGGCAGTGTGCAGTAGTCGTAGAATTATGGTCTACTATGATATTAGTACTGCTCTAATATTAGACCTGATCCTAAAATTGTAGATTTGTCATGATATAACTGCCTAATCTATAAGATCTTACGTGGAAGTCACACCATCGACTACACCAACTCACTGTATCGTATCAATTACCAATACATGATGTAGAACAAGGTTAGGCTAGAGAAGGAACAATATATTTAATATGAATAGAAGATACAAGGGACCACGTCTGCATGGCCGTGCCATGCCATCCGATCAACTCCAATTCAACTCCCCATTCGCGCCTTCTCCATCGTAAGGTATTTCTCCGCGTCAAATATTGAATCTCTATTTTCTGAAAAGTCTTGTGTTCAGCTTTGAAGATTGAGTGGTTATGGTCCAATGCCACTACATAGTCTTTAAGTCTTGGCTAACGATGACTCCTAAGTCATTATATGTCTGGACGACAGGTAGCTCGATGTTATTCATCGTCTATGTATCTGTACCTTGATGACCGGTATGCATCACAACACACTTGGAAGTATTTATCGGCAACTGCCAGGTTTCAGACCATTCAGATAAATTCTTCAGATCATCTCGGAGTTCTAAGCTTTCACCCTCACATCGTATCGTTCTCCATATCTTGACATCGTCAGCATATAGCAAGACTGATGATGATAGGAGACGAGGAAGGTCATCTACATACAAGAGGAATAGCACTGGCCCCAAAACTGTACCCTGGGGCACTCCACCAAGCACAGTTCCCCAGCCAGATAACTTTGAGTTCACCCGTACTCTTTGTTGACGCCCAACTAAGAAGTCTTTTATCCACATAAATAGATTGCCTCCAATCCCGATATTTCTTAACTTATATAACAGCCGGTTGTGCGGAACCTTGTCAAAAGCTTTGCTGAAATCAACGAACGCTACGTCTACAGGTAACTTCTGGTCCTTAGGAGCGTACCAGCTTTCGCGAGCCACTAATAAGTTAGTGAGACAAGAATAACTGATTCTGAAACCGTGCTGCTTCTCCGAAACGATCCGGTTTTTATCGAGATACTTTAACAGCTCTTTCCGAATAATCTTTTCTAAGATTTTAACAACCACACTAGTTAGGCTTACGGGGCAGTGATCCCCAAGTTTTGTGTTTCGTACCTGTTTTGAAGACAGGACTTACTATGGCATTTTTCCATTCTTTTGGTAGACGACCCTGCGTCACGGATGGGTTGAAGCATATACTTAAAGGGTTCGCAACAATGTTAGATAATTCCTTCAGTAGTCTAGTATGTAATTCATCGGGCCACGTGGATTTACCTATGTCAAGCTTATTTAGTAGACCAAAGACATCGAGTTCTTT